TACCCTCCAGGAGATATTTATCAGTACAACAGTAGACCATCATAAAAAAAACATGATTTGAAAATTATATTAAAAACAAAAACAGCTACATTATAAAGTGATGTAAAATACTAAAAACAGGAACACGTCTGTTGGTTTATGTCATGAACGTAGCAGATGTTTGAAGCCATTTAACATTTTATTTAATTCATTTATTCGTTCATTTAAAAGAAACAATAAAAAATCAAAAAGAAAACATTGAACGAAAAGAGTGCAGAAAGAAGAAAAAAAATTCTTATATCTGCCCCTTATTTAAAAAAATATAAAATAACTTTAAACAATCACTTTAATTAATCACTTTAATATCCACTTTAAAGCTAGGAATAAAAAAATAAACATGTTTTGTGTTAGAATTTAATTCTAACATTAAAACTTATCCAACATTAATAAAGCTTAACTCAAGTTGCCTTTTTGGACATGCATGCATATATTTGTACAAATTGTACTTGAGAGGAGATTATTACAGCCTCATATAAAATCAATGATGATCATGATATCGGAACTGGATCGGTATCGGCCGATACTCAGACGTAGGTATTGGGATCAGATCGGAAAAAAGAGTGGATTGGTGTATCCCTAGAGTGTAGTACCTTTTTTGACCACCTGATGGCAGTATAAGACGGTTTGAACCAAAGGATTGATAGTTGAGCAGCGTTTCTTTAAGAAAAATGAGAGGGAGGGCCCTTGACGTGAAATGGGCTGACATGGTGAGATGGCGGACGCTCAGTGATTTGAGTTCTTTAGCATAACATTTTTCACACATAGCTTTTAATAAAAAAATAATTAAACAAGTTCTCAGCTTCTTTTTTCGGAGAAAAACAATTTTTTTACACAAAGGCACGGATTTCAACCGTGAATTTTGGAACTCGACAAAACGGAGGTTTATTCCTGAGGTTGGCCTGTTAGCTTAGCGTCTCAGCTTATCTGCTTTTAACGATCCAAAAACACGATTTTGGACGGTTAAAACGGATTTTAACGAGAAAAGAGAAAGGGGGGGGGGGTCAGTGAAGAGCACCAGCGTTAAGCCGTGTCTTCAGTAGATAGAGAGACACAAAGAAATGATAAAGCCAGTAAATGAAAATGAGGTTGATAATTTTCATTCATCATGCGATTGATTTATTGTTTATTGCGACGAGCCTAAGGTAAACATCTTATTTTGTTTGAAGACATGATTCTAAACTCATACTCCTAGTCTAATAGGAATATTTGTTCTATATTAGATACTAGATGAGCTTGTAAGGTATTCCATTAATGATGTGCTAGTATGCTTAGGGGAAGAAATGTTAGAAAAAGTGATTCTCTGATCCACTGAGTGGGCTCCTCTGGTGTCTCTGTTATGGAGTCTTAAAATACCTCAGCACTTCTTTGAGATATTGAATCTGGGTGATGACATATAGTTGGCAGACCTTCGATTACTTTCCCCAAACTCCCACCAGACTTCATTTTATTTTCACACACTGTCACAAATGGAAATCTTTATTTGCCTTGTATTTTAAAGAGCAAACGTTCTACTCAGTCTTTTAATATCTAAAATGATGAATCCTATCATATTGTTAACTTTGGAATCGTTTTTTTTTAATTCAACAGAGTTGAGATGTAGTTTCAGTTTCATTCTTAAATAGTAATTTTTTTTCAGCCGCTCCCTTCTTCAGGGTTCACCATAGTGAGCAAACGTGTGTGAAAGGTTTGGCAATTTGTTTTATGCAACCTTGGCTCAAACCCGTATTCTCAGGATTACAAGACCGCAGCACTGACCATCAAGCTACCACAGCCCCCAGTTTCATTCTTAAATAATGCTTAAAAAATGCTTTACTCTTTTTGAGATTTTTTAATGAAATATGTTCAGCAGTATTCTATTTTTGGGAAGGTTTGCCTAGTTTTATGGAACTATTTTATTGTTATTTTATGGAATCTAAATTATCCCCGATTTAGAAGATATTAAAGGTTTAGTCAGGTCATGCTCTGCTTCACTCATAGCTTTATTTCTAAGTCATTGTATTGAAAAAACAATTAATTACTTGTTCTTGGATTTTGATCTTCTGAATAATATCCTGCCTCATCTCTCAGTTGGTCTGGCTTCAGTCCTCAGTTACACAGTAGATAGTAATGTTACACAGAATCGTTTAGTTTGGGGATTGGGTCTTTTTCCTTTTTCTTTAATACTACATTCATATTGTAGGTAAACTGCATCTTAAAATGAAAAGTGATTTCAAGAGAAATTTGATGGAGATTATTAAAATTAACTTAATTCACAGTTTATAAGTGCTGAGTTTTAGATGATCTGCAAGTACTGTACATTTAATAATTTGTAATATGAAAAAATAACTTAATGGTATGGTACGGTATAAAGTTTATTCATTTTAAAAAAAGTACAAAAAATTCCATAACAATATAAAAAAGATACAAAAGATTTAAAATGAAAGGCAGCAGAAATAAGAAAAAATCTTATTATATCTGCCCCTTTTTTCAAACAATTATTTCAATCATAAAAATTTTCAATTTTAATTTTTTCAATCTTTATCGATTAAAAAATAAAATGTAATGAGCTTTATTAGTAAACCAGCTTTTAATGTAAAAATGTTGCAAACATTTGAACTGAGTTTATATATAAACCTGTGGTTTCTGGCTTCACTGTGCTTCAACCCAGGACACTACAAGTGACAGATTATGGATGAAATCCAGATGAGTTTTGAAGGGATTGAGGATTGCCTGAGGTAGATTACTAAGAAAGAGTCATGGTAGGTAGAAAAGTTTTTCAGGGGCTTCTCTTTTAGAGACCACATGATCCTGTCACTCCTCTGGGAGTTGGCGTTCAGGGTGGCGAATGGGGGAGGAATGTACTCTTGCCTGGAAAAGCCTTGCAGTGCATAGGGAGTTCCATTTTGCTGCCAACTCTGCTTAGAAACTGAACCCAGCCAGCAGCAGAAACTCAATCTTCCTCTCCAGCTGGCCTCTTTGCTTGTAGAGGAGTAGGAGTTGATGATGATGAACACCCACAGTGGATTAATGATTTGCCATAGATGAACCAATGCTTTACTTCAGCTGTGTCTCATTCAGCTGCCGAGTGACTTAAAAAGGTTACATCCCCTTCTTTTTTTTTTTTTTTTCTGGATTCCCCTATTACTGCCTTGTTATCCAAATTCTGTCAGGTGCTCGCTTGTATTTGCAGCATATGAGCGAAAGACAATCTAAGAAGTGAAAAGTGTGCACGACAGCTCATAAAGCCAAGATTGTTAGTGTAGCAGGCCTTTGAGTATCTCATATTGACTTTTCTTTGAGCTTTGCTGCCAAACAGACCTGGTGCGGTTTTGGAGCAATATATAATATATCTAGCCTCATTGGCCTCACCACATTGCGCAATGGAAAAAGAGCACACTTGTCTCCAAAATGGCTTTGAGAGATTGCTAAACCATAATGTCACTTATGCGATCGTCTTGGGTTAAAGTAAAGATCCCATTTGACAAATGGGTTAAAGAAAATAAACAGACACATGTGAGTCATAAAGAGAAGCGTTGAACCGTCTGTTTAGCCTGATACTGGAGAGTTAGAACTTTCATTAATCTGAACAAATAAAATAGAAAAACCCAGTCACTTGTGTGCCTCCAAGGTATTTTTACAACAATGCTGATTATTACCATACCACTGCAAGTCTATATTTTCCTTAGATCCTTCATAAAAAGGATTATTTCTACTCAACACATTTGTAGAGGCATGAATTGTAGGATTTAATATAACTTTAAATTAATTTTTTTTCACTAAACCTTCCGCTACCATTCTGGTATGAAGTAGTACACTCGAGGGCCTTGGAAGAACAGAGAAAGCAGTGCATTAATCTTAGTTGTGTTTAAGTTTACTTTTCTCAGATCAAAGTTTTTTAAATTCTCTAATAAAACATCTCCCCCCACCGCCACTCACCTTATCTCCTCCCATCTATCCTTCAGCTAATTATGCGTGTAAATTGTGACTGCACTGGGACAAATTACAAATTGGTGAGCATGGTTCGTTATCACTTGTCGTGTATCATTTATCACACTTGCAATTACAACACCTCTGCTCTTCTTCTGCCACCATCTTCTCTCTTGGGATGCTCATTAAGCAAATTGTATAAGCATGAAATAGAACATAGATGTGTTGCTCTTTCAAACATTGTAGTGAAAGAGAAAGAATAGGGAAACCTTTAACATCAATGTAAAGCCTCCTGGAGAGAACAGGCCTTTATGTTCCTCCTTCTTTAACCCCTGTTGCCTGTCCCACCAGCCACTGACACACACAGCTTGTGGCTGATTAAGTTAGGTCATGCTGGTTCATCTTTGACAAAAGAGAAGTCAAATTGTTCCCTTAATTAGTTCCAGTGCTTGCGAAGCTAAAGTTAAGTAACACTTTTGTTTTAACTGTCCCTGAACATAAGCATATCTTTTACTTTTGCCCTTCTGATCCTTTTCCTGTTTGGGAGACGAAATGAGATTGTCACACAAGGCCAACATTTGTTCTAAACAACCATTTGCTAATAGCTTGCTTTGCATTCCAGCCTCTCCCACATCTATGTATATAATAAGAATTTTGGGTATACTACCATGGTGCCTCCTAATTCTAAATCCCACAGCTTTTTCAGCACCAGTCGCAGTGGTTAAGCTGCAAAAAGCTTGGAACTTATCTTCTTATTTCAGTTTGCTAATACCATATGACCATACTTTCAGAGTGAAACAACAAGTGAAGGTTTCATGTCAAAGCAATCTATATTTTCTTCTCAGATTGCGTGGCAAAAATAATAGCAGCGTCTATTCCTCTGAGAATCTGCCATTTTTAACACTGTATCAGATCTGCAATTGTGAAATGGTCAGCGAGTAAAGACAGTGTAACGTTACCTTAATTTAAAGCACATCAGCTTTAAAAAATGATTAATGTTAATTGTGTTACAGAAGTGTCATTTTTTTCTAACTTTTGTTTTTTTCTCTTTACAGCCGTGCAATCAAGACCAATCAGGACCTGCTCCCAGAGACCCCCTGGACAAACATCTTTTATGATGACTTCTGGGGCACCTTACTCACACACAGTGGCAGCCATAAGTCTTACCGACCCCTCTGCACCCTCTCCTTCCGCCTTAACTATTTGGTGGGTGGGCTGGAGCCTTGGGGTTATCACCTGGTTAATGTGGCCCTCCATGGTGCTGTGACCATCCTGTTTACCTCTCTGGCCCGCCTGTTACTTGGGGGAGGACTGTGGAGCCTACTAGCTGGCCTAATATTTGCTTCTCACCCTATCCACACTGAGGCAGTGGCAGGCATTGTTGGACGGGCCGATGAAGGTGCTGCCCTGTTCTTCCTGCTGTCCTTGCTGTGTTACATCCATCACTGTAGGCTGCGGGGGCATACAGGGTCCTTGCGACTTGCTGCATGGTTCCTGAGCAGCTTGGGCTGTGCAGCATGCAGTATGCTATGGAAGGAGCTGGGAGTAACCGTTCTGGCTGTATCAGCATTGTACGATGTCTGTGTTTTCCACAGGTTCAAACTGCGGCAGGTCATTATACTCATCTACAAGGTAAATCCTTTGCTTTTATTTGAAGAATGACACAAATAACATAAAAGTTACACATATGTTCAAAGTTTTGTCACATCATGTGTGTTTTGTTTACAGTTCAGAGTACCAACTGAAAGTATGTCACCATGTATGAACAGCTGTGTCCTTTAGGCCTGTTTGTGGAGTTTTCCATCAGTTAGAACACGTGCTGTTTACAAAAATCAAACAGGATTTACCAAACTAAACAAAAGCCTGTTGGAAAGAACAAACTAGTATAACAAGACATTTTACGCAGTAACACCTGTCAAAAGCATTTACCATTTTCACGAGTACTCAATGTGCTGTGCACAACCGTTCCCATCATACTAAATCCAACGGGATTTCAATTCCATGATATGATCAGAAAAACAAGTTCCTCTATAAGCTCCATTTGCTGATTCATAAACTACCAGTTGAGCTGGCCATGTCCCGGCAAAGATGTGAGCTTTCGTTAATGAAGCTGGCATGGCAGAACCAAAAGAGGCATGGAGTGTAACTGAGCTGTGGTACGCTATGCATAAAATGTGTGTCAGACATCTCCTGTTCCAAATCCCCTTGACTGGTTGGTCGCACAAACCATTCATCATCACTAGATCTCATTGTCGACCTGAAAAGCTGGCATAATTTTTCATATGTTGATCCTTACAGCGCTGTTAGTGCCTCGCTTGGCTGCTCAAAAATGTGACAGCACTGGGCTGACCTTAACCCACTGCACTGCCTCTGTCCTTTCATAAATCACACTAAGATGACAAAGCAACATCTTAGGCCCAGCTTAAGGTGTTTTGTGGAAGGGTCTAATGAGAGCAACACATGATTTAAAGAAATGCTACAAGAAAGACTGGATCTAAGAACAAAGACAAACTTGGAACAAGGCAGAAATACCTATAAATAAAGAAGAAAAGATAAATCTATACAGTTCTTCATAAGAACAGTGCTCGGTTCGGAACAGTGTTCGGCGTATTGATTGTTTTTGTACTATTAGTGCTTAACGTATTCATTAAGTTAGTGCTCGCATTAAGTGTGTAAATTATACCTAACCGAACCTATGAGAATTGTGCTGCTGTTGTTCAGTGTATTATTTTGCACTATTAGTGACTAGCGAATATTTCATATATTTTTGCATACTGTTGGGCATTCGTTTAGCATATATCTTAATGTATATCTTGGATCCTTATTTACGGTTTCTTTTTACACTTTATATGTTTGCTATTGTTAGATGTAAATGGGACCCTGGTTACACAGTTTCATTCCACCTCATGTACCACATGTGATGTGAATGACAATAAAGAACCTTGAATCCTTGAATTATTTTTGGTGCTCAGTGTAGAGCGGCAATGAGGAGCAAAGGACTTTGCTGACTTCTACTCTAAGTATTCCTTTTGATTTAAGATTTATTTGACTCTTGTCCTCACGTGTGGCCCGTCTCTTGCCACTGGAAGACAGTCTGAATGTCAGCCATGGCCAAAGTACAAGGAAATGGGGCCAAAAGGGCTGAAGGAAATTATGCTTCAAAGCTGACAGTTTTTCAACTCTTTAATTAAAGTTCAAACACCCTGCTGATCCAGTTGTCTGGAAGAAAAAAAACTTGAAAGCCTGTTACAATACTGGCTCAAAGCAAGCCCTGTGTATTTCTTCTATGGTTTGCCACCATAGTTTACTTAACAGGAAGGATTAAGTTCCATCTTTTGTATTGAAATACCTTCCTAAAATGTTTACTTGTTTAGAATTTTATGTTTAGCATCAACTGTCTAGAACTTTCTGGGTACTTAAAATACCCTTGGAAAAATGCAACATAATTGCAGTTTTGTCCTTTGGAAGTCAAACAATTTAAAGATCTGTCAACAGCAAAGCATCAACACTGTGTACTAAAATTGAACTGTCCAAATTTTATAGTGCATAAAATTACACACTGCAACCGACCAGACTGTCTCAACGTTGTACACAACCAACCAACAACCAACAATTTGAAGTCGCAAACATTCGAGCCTTAAAGGAGCACGATTAAATCTGACTGCATTGCATTTAAGTGACAAGGAAGGCGGTGTGGGTTGAAATGCCCTTTAAGAAATGTACGAACTGCCATGAGAAAAGACTGTAAAACAGCATATTTTTCTGGAAGTTAGTGCCGTCCATGCCTTTTTCCCCACGACATGCAACTATTGCTGACAACTGTCATTATGGCAGCCTGTTATTTATTCACTCAGCAGACAATCAAAAATCCAGCACAGAGAGTTGTTATAACTTTAGAGTAACTTCAGTTGCAAATTGAGGCTTTTTTTGTTTTGTTTTACGAAAATGTGCTTTGTTGTTATATGTTAGCATTTTGTGATCTCATGTATTCTCAAAATGGTAAACAGTTCAAAGTCATAACATATACAGAAAATTAAAAGTTTTGTGATATGAATTTCATAGATGATAGATACGAGGATTTTAGTTTGTTTCTTGTTTGTTTCATGAGCATCTCCCCAGAGAAGCATTCAGTTGTCTAAAGTGTGAAAAATCATTGTGCTGGTAATTAAAATAAAGACAGTCTTGCTTAAATTTAAAGACTCTTCAGCATGAACACCATTTATTAACACTCTAAAGAAAAACTAAACAAGGCTTAGAAGTGAAATAACTTTTGAGATGTGTTTGTTTCCCCCTGTTTGAGATAAAACTCACCCTGTGGTTGGAATTTAGAGGCAGGCTCGTTGCATGACTGTCAAGCTATAATGGGCTGGCACTGTGTTTTATCACTGAGCTTACCCCAATTGCCTTTTAACACTGGAAATGGTAAAATGGTCCTGCTTATCAGATTGTGGCACACAGTCAGTTACAGTAGTTGTGTATCCTTTTCAAATCTCCCTTTCTACCATAATGGCTTCTGTGTGCTGATAAAGGGTGCCGGCAGCAAGTGTATAACTCCACTGCTTAATAACTCATTCATCAAGATTTTTGATTTCAGCCTCTGCATGCAAATCAATTGAAAACGGTGATGGGTTAGTATTAACTTGTTTTTTTTGTTTTTGTTTCTTCTAACAAATCTGAGCGATATTTAGTAATACTTGGTTGCCTTAGCAAATTTCATTGGTCTCATTTTTCATTCTCTGTTGCTCTTCCCACATCAAAAACAAAGATGTTTTTTTTTTAATGAGACATTTTCAGGCTTTAAAGTTAGCCAGCTGTCTTGAGAGGTCTGCACTAAATAAAGTTGTTTTTATTTATTTATTTTTAAACAAAAAGGAGAAGCAATGAAAATCTTCTTGGGGGTCCAGATAAGATGTTTACAAGGGCCAGATTTGGCCCGTGGGCGTTGAAAATGACACATATAAGCTATCATTGTTAGGCTTCATCAGTCAGCGCCTTGACTGATGAAGCCTTCTGGATCGAAGGCGAAACGTTTCAGCACAAAAAAGAAACTGTCCAGATGACCTGACTGAAAAATGCTGTATTATGTACATCAGTCACTCATCAATTGCTACGTATTTTATCAGACGTAAACACATAATTTATATAATTTTGTATTTTAAATGCATGACCTAAAATGACCTTCATTTTTAACCCATTCCTTTTTCTTTGTGCAGTCATTAGTCTGTTTGTTTAGTGCTGAATCCAGCAGCTCTTGTGTTGATAATTGGTGCCAGTGCAGAGCTTCAGTTTACAATGTGTTCTAATTAGCTCTTTCCAAGTTATGTGCTATGGTGAAAAATAAAAAAAGAGCTGCCATTAAACTGTTTACTCAGATTGACCTTTACAGTGCTGATGTTCTCCAGTTGCTTTGCGCCTGATTAAAGGTATTGCAACCATGTGTTATGTCGAAGCAGAGTTGATGGCATTCAAATGTTGCACACTTGGCAGGGATGTTTCTACGATCTAATCCCAGTTTATATGGAAAATAACTTGTGGTTTAAGAGACTGTTTCTTGCACAACATTGGTTAATAGGCTCATTTTTAATAAGAGATACTAAAATACAATTAGAGATTTTCATTCACTTCAGGGAGGAATGTTATTTGGCATGATCAGCCAATGTGATAGTTCAGTAATTGTTTGTTTGCAGAACTGAAGATTGTCTTTGTTTATTTGCAAAAGAAATTTTAAGGCAGGGAAATGGCCCTAAAAGCAAGCTCTGTAATAGGAAATACAACACCTGTGTGGCCATAAAATTTTATGTAAACATCTTGACCTTCTTATATTGTTTCCTGTGTTTTAGTTTGAAACAAACATAGTTTCTTTATTAGATTTTCCATGGCCATAGTATGTTCCACTTCTTCACATTTTTAACAAGAAATAGAAAATGATTTTTTTTTTTCCTCTTATAGAGGACACAACATGAGCTCAAGTCCCTGCAGGGATGACACTTCTTATGTGACAATGATGAGAAAAATCTTTTGAAAATATGAAACTAGAAGCCAACTCTTTGAAAGTGTATACTAGATAAAGATTTATCTTGGTGATGTCATGTCAGTGCCTCCTTGCATTTTGCATCAATCAGTATCTCCTGAGCACAAAAGGCTTCAGCTTTATCATCACAGAAACTGAAATCATTCTCTCAGTGAATGCTTTTGATTCAATCCAACATCTAACCATAACAGGGAAATTATTTCTAAATCTGGGACGGGACACATCTGGCCCTCTGTGAATGTCACACTCACACATTTGATCTTTTCTCACCTCCAGTTTTCTGTTCACACTTCTATCAGTTCAAGGTCACTGCTTAAGGTGCGTGTATGTTTGTGAGATGATGTAGACAGAGATTTTGCGGAGGCCGAGAACTCAGGTGCCGTGGAACTGGTTTGGCCAGCAGGCTTGACCTCAAGAATGTCAAAACCAGAGTTAATGGAAATGGCAGATGTGAGATGGGAGGTCCGTGTGAACACGTGTACATGTTTATATGCCATGGGTACCACATGTGCATGAGCTTCAAGCAAAGCCAGCATACAAAATGTGACATTCATACATACCCTTGCTGCGTACTAGATGAGGTAAAGGGAAACCCAGCCCA